TGCTGAAAGGTTCCTCTAGCACTGAGGTTAATGTGGGCTCAGAGGAAAGCACATCCTACCAGCGCTGGTCAGACACAAAGCATCTGTAGTGCATCCTTTAGCAAGCCTGGCTGTCACAGACCATGTTCATGGCCTGCTTGGTGAGCACCCTAAAGGTTACATGTTCATATGACCCTGGAAAAGGGTAATTTTTGCTTTACAGTGAGCTGTCAGTCTGTGCCTCATATTGTGCCTTTTTTTGCTCCAAGCAAGACTCAGCCACGAATTTAGCATTCCCCTATTGCCCCAGAGTTTGAGAGACAAAACGGCACCGTCATGGGAGAAAGGCTCATGGGAGAACATCGTGCCAGGAAAATAGAAAGGGTCTCATTGCTGGGAGATTAGCTGATCTCTCGAGAAACTCTCCAGCCCTACGCCTTATTCTATATTCACACCATTCTCTGCAAATAAATTGTGTCTCAAAAGGCCTTGAAGATTAGCAGTAGGTGTAAGTCTCCCACAAACCTCAGAAACATGGGAAATGTGTCGTACAGCTTTCTGATCAAACCATTTTGCAAGTAAACCTTTCGTCGGCTGAAAACACTGGACGCAAGGGGACTATTCTGTACCTAAAGCTGTAAGAACGAGCTCTGAGGTCATGGTGGGGCTGTTAACAGATGCCCATCGTTTGTAGTTGTCCTTCACACAAACCTACCTGCGAGACCCCGTTTCTGTAGGTGCCTGAAGTAGCTCGTAGCTGCTCAGCCTGGTGTTTGTATTAAGCAGAGTTGGGAGAAGCCTCTCTGCTGTACTGTTTTGTACTGGCTGTTGCAGGAGATGGGAACCTCTCCTAAAATAGCTGTACCTGCTGCCTCTCTGATTCCTTCCTGGTAATGAACATATAAGTCCCTTTTCTTATTAAAAAAAACCCTGGAGTGCTCACCTGGTCCCTTTAGCCTCAAATCTATTCTCTGGTCGCAGTCAAGCGTATCGGGCAGAAGTCTTTGGAGGCTTTTGTCACGTCCGTAGAGCAAGACGTTCTCCGGTTTGATGTCCGCGTGGATGATGCGGCAGCACTGGTGCAGGAAGTGCAGCCCTGCCAGCACCTGGGCGAGCAGGCAGCAAGTCACGCCCCCACCGCCTCCCCTACCCCAGCAGCTGTCAGAGCGGTCAGGCTCAGCGGGAACGCACGTTGTGGACGTTCTGGTATCAAAGAAAGGGCGCACTGATGATAACTTTCTGCCATTAATTGTTCCCGTGTAGTGAGTGCCCTGTACTAGGGTGGGGGTGCAGCCAGAAGAGGGACGTTGGTGGCTGGGGGGGCCCCGTGGCAGCAGGCACAAGGGCTTTCATTGCAGGAGGAGCAGACGCCGGAGCCCAACACGTCCAGTGAGAGGGGGCCCAGTGGGGAAGGGGCTGTTTGGGGGAGGTGGGGGTGACCTGCAGCAGAAGGCAGCATGAAAATACAGAGATGGCAGCACGGAAGGGCAAGCCCGGAGAGACGGAAATAGGATAGGGCTACAAGGAGGCATTACGGTCACAAAGCTGAACTTTCTCCTGAAAAAATAGCCTGTACAAACAGGA